TAATGCTTCAACCCAAAATTAAAAACAAATGAAATAAAAATAGTCTTTGTTTCTTTTAATGTTTACGATTTTTATTCCAATGGAACCTAAGGTAGAGTAAGTTATTACTGTCTTACAGTGAATACCAATGTTTTCACTGTCTTGAAAAATACTTGTTATTTGCCCAATTATCATTCCCATTTTTTTAATGCGGCCTATATTAAATTTATTGATTGCTAAAATTCAAAAAAACGCGCCAGGGCATCCCCTGCCACACTAAATTTGATCAACTGATTAATCGGTATTTCTGGTGACGCCGATTGATGTAAATGTATGGGTTATCTCTGGATGGGTTAGTGTTTGGTTGTTTGTTATATTTGCTAAAAGTTGTACATGTTTTATAATTGTATGTCCGCCATGCATTATCCAGTAATTTAATTACTCAATTATATCTAAATAATAACAAAAATGTAAATGTGTACTCATATAGGTATATACCATGGACACAGTTTATCTTGATATTCGGTGTCATGCCTTAAAATAGCTATTTTGCTTAAATGGACGAAGTTTTAATTTATTTATAAAAAAACTTCTCATAGTCTTTTAGTACCATCATGATATCCTTGCAGGGCGTCCTGAAAGTATATATACATATTGCTTTAGGACTTTCAGCAATCTTTAGGATTCGCCTCTAAATACATAAGATGAAATTCCTATTTCGTTTTAGAATAACAATGTGCCATGGCAGACAGATCCTGCACATCCAGTACAGTAACTGTTGCTAGTGATGGGTCAGCAACTTTCTTAGAGCCTAATATCTAACACTTCTAGTGTGTTCCTAATAGTTCCTACAGAAAACAGAACAATTTCATTTTATGAATCAAAAAACCTGTGTACACAAGACTACCAGAAACAGTTTCCAGAATTCATTTTATTTAAAGTTCATATTAATGTATTATACAACTAATATTTGCACAAGAATATACATATTTAGAGGAAATAGAGCTTTGATTGCATTTAATGTAGCCATTCATTAGAAACCATAACTTTATTTATGCCAATGATAGTTTTTCATTAAGATTCATTGTGGCTTCAATTAAATAACAATTTAATTCAATAATTTCTTATGTTTGCCTAACTAAGTTTTAATACGGATTTAATAGAATCACAATTTAATTCAATGACTTCTTTTGTTTGAACTAATTTTAAGCAGGTTTGGACAAATAAAAGTAAGACAATCATTCATTTGATCATAGCTGTAATTCAGGTATTGCAAATACAGTATACCATTGGCTCAATGGTTAACCCATTCACAATATAAAAGCTTTTTCTCTGTGTAGATAACTTTACAACAGGAGCAGCTTTTTTACGTACAATTATTTGGACAATTGTAATTCAAGATCGAGAATTCAACAAAACCCTACAAAAAAAAGTTATGAGGATTTTTTCCCGAGTAGTCCCTGTTTTCGACGCCTATCATTTATCTAATTTGACACCACACTGAAAGAAATGGTTCTATAAACCAGTATTGTTAAGCCGAGTTTTATAAAGGCAATAAGAGGATGCTTAGTTAGAATCATATTCGTTTCTAAAGACAATAAGCTGTGTAGTAACTGTTATAATTTTGATTTTATTCCAGTTGTTTAATACTGGCTATAATCTAGATGCATATTGTTTATGAAATGATTTCTTGCAGATATCATATATTATGGTGGTAGCATATCGATTTTATAAGAGATAATAGTAGGTATGTATAATAACTGTTACAAGATGTTTAACAAAACCGAGTTTATACTGTCTATAAACCAGTTGGCTGTCCTAATACTAATAGAGAAATCTTATAAGGGGTATTATATTTTTCATGACAGGTATTAGATTTTTCCCTCAGTGCACCTGATGATTTCTTGCCCAAAAATTACACCAAAATGTATAACTGGTATTTCCGAAAACCCTGTATAAGTGCTGCAAGTGACAGTTTATTTTGTGAGAAGGGAAGTTTGAGAGACGCTGCTCTAGGCTTTTGGACAAAATAAAATCGCTATATGCACAAAATAGTTTATGATATGTCATCCACAACTTTTTTTTTAACACCATTAAAAGTACAAATCAAACACCTACGCCACTGCTACGTTTACCATGGTTTAAATAAATGTTGCAACATAGTTCATAATTTTTATTATCACTTGTGGTTAATAGTACCTAAACTAAATCATGACTTGTTGCACGTTTGCAATATTTTAATAAAATTATTAATAAATTCGTCATACTAGCAGATAAACTAAACAAATAATGAACAACAGAGATTTTTCTTTACAATTTTTTTAAAGCATGATCTCAATTACCCACTTGCCATTTTGTTTGATTAATTTCTACGAAGAAAATTATTTCACGAAGAGCTTGACATTATCTTGATATTTAACCATAAATAATAGACTACTTTACAAAATTTGAAAAAGTTGTTCCTTCTTTAACTAGAACCACTTTTGCTAGGGTAGTATTTAGATCTAGATTTAAAGATACACATGAAATCTCTAAAAAATTAATTGTTATAAATTTTGATTTTTAATGTCAAATCAATCCCAAATCTTTATAGTTGTATGAAAAAAAATGCAATAAAAATTTGTGTAAAACTCATGAATCAAAAATCATTTTTTTTAATTTGAATTTTATTGTGATCATCTCCATTATTAATAATATGATCAATTTTTATTTCTTCTTTATTCATTTTTCAATTGCAAAAGCACAAGTAGTAGACACTCCTATGCATTTTAAAAATTAAAAAAAAATCTAATGAAATCTATTTTTAATAAAATATTTTTGGGGCAATGTCGCATAAATTTATTTATTTTAAATGATTTGACCTTGAACTTCGAACAAATTTCCTCTATTGAGGAGGCTCGTGATTTTTTCCTATACCAGGGCCAAACAGGGCTATCGGCAACCCTGTGCTCGGATAGGGCTCTTCGTTAAAACCACGAAGACTAGAGACAGGAGTAAAAACTTTCTATGTTTGATGCGTATTTTTATGAGACAAAATACGTCGGCCCAATCTGAATAGGGCCAATCACAATCAAATAGGTATGAAGTTTTCTATGTGTTTGAAAATAAAAAAAGGGTAGAGTTAAACAAGGAAATGTAATATACATACACAGTAAAAAATATTTGTAAATTTTAACCAAATATAAACCATATTTTATGTTAATCCATGTAAATATTTTGTAGATTTAATAACAAAATCCTCTCAATAATTCAACCCTAATTCTTGTAATTTTCAAAAAGAACTTTATTTTTACAAACCTTTTTGTAGACCCAGTAACAAAAGTATTTGTTGGAAATTGGGAACTTAAATGAAAATAACTTTAATAAGAAATGCTGCTTTATTAATCAATTTTCTAAACATAAAATAAACAAATACCTACATTATTAACTAAAAAATAACATATATTTAATTGTGTATACACACATTGTATACACATATTTAATTGTCAGTGGCGGCTGGTGGATTTTGGGTATACCTACCGATATCTTAATTACTATATATGGGACCCACACCAAATTTATATGAGTTTATAATGACATTAAATAAACAAGTTCTGCGCAAGCAGAATTTAAATTGAAGTTTGCGCCCCCAATAAATATAATATAAATTTAATTGGTGCAATTTATTATTTACCAAAGTTTATCGACAAATTTCAAATTTAATTTAAAAAATCAAAATTATACAGATTTTATACCATTTTAAATTTTGAATATTTCCTTTCAAAGAAATAATAAAATTTAAAATGAAGATTTTGATTTTTTAAATAAAATTTGAAATTTACCGATAAACCATGGTAAATAATAAATTGCACCAGTTAAATTTATATTATATTTATTGGGGGCCCTATTGAACCGGTACGGCCGAACGAAAAGTTATCTTTTTTTCGAAAACTTCAATTTTTAAATAAATAGTTCGTACCAGAGGGCGATCGCCAATGTTGGCGATTGCAACATGGCGCCAGCATAATTTTTTATCATAAATAACCGAAAAACCATTACCTTCAAAGTATCAAAAATATATTATATCAACATTTTAAATTTCACCATATTTCTTTTTAACAACCCTTTAGCCAATATCGTGATGGTTGACTATTTTTATTATGCGTTAAATACTCTTGCTTGTTTTAAAAATGAGATTCCTATAGACCAATAATTATTGTACTACCCTCTTAAAGCACTTTGCTGTTTTTTTATTTTCTGAGCACCCTGGACATTTAATTAAAAATGTTTGTAAAGGAATCTCATTTTTAAATACAAGCAGAAGTTTTTATGAAAAATGATTTTTTGCGATTCCGTTACGAATATCTTACCACATTTCTCATATATTTTGATATATAATTTTTTTTTAAATTTCTGAGAACCCTGGATATATATTTCATCTTTTTATGAAAGTCTTAATTTTTAACCATAAAATATTTTCAAAAAGAAATCATTTTTCCACAAAACGCATTTCTATAGAAACTATAGTTTTTTGGGTTTTTTTAGTTTCTGAGCACCCTGTACATTTAATTCAAAATGTTTGTGTATGAATCTTATTTTTGAAACAAGCAAGAGTTTTTAAATAACATGTTTTTTTTGTATCCTAATAAAAAAGTTTTTTTCTATTGTCATTACCATTACCAAAAAATAATATTATGTAATAGGAGTAAAGAAAATTGTATTACCATTCTTAAATGCAATAAAGATTGTCAAATTTAAAAAATATATTACTTTTATGACCAGGATAGCGGTAATTTGTCGAGTCCTTTTTTACACGTAGACAAGACAAGATTACGAAAGTAAGAGTATTTTTGACAATCTTTCCATGTATTTGTTATAACAATAACAATAAAGAGGCATCAAAATGCGTTAATAAAGTGTTTTAAAAATTGGATTTTTGCCGCGTAAATTTGCCTCTCAGACCACTGTGCGGCTGTAGCATGGACTTTATGCTCTCCTGATACTTTTTTGTATGTAAAGTGTAAATAAAAAAAACAAATATTTTACAAAACATTTATTTAAAAAATATCACACAAAACTTTAAACCTTTCCCAAAATCTCCTTGCACTGCTTGTACCTTTTGCCGTGCGCATCCGGCAACGTCGCACCGACGCATCCATAGCCGCCTACGATGTGCAGCAGAGCGAAATCATCGCAGTCGACTTTGCCGTCTCCGTTGCAATCCTGCGAGAACCTGTTCACGTACCCTTGCACCGCGGTGCTGGCGCAATTCGCGTCCAGAGCGCAGTTCTTGAAGGCTTCCGCCTTCTCTGGATCGTCGTCCTCCAAAGTGGGCTTCCCAGCGTCGGCCCAGTAGCCCCACGAGAGCCTAAAGGCGCCGCACACGTTGCCCGAGCACCCGCTCGTGACGTTGCATCCGGAAATCGCCTCGCATATGCACGAGAGGCATTGCTGGGTCACGGAGCCATCTGAGGCGGCTGAGGTGATGTAGACGAGACAGATGAAGATCGACGCAGTTGCCACGCACAAGCGTTTTAGCATTTTAACTGTTTTTTAAGGCACTTGCACTGTTGTAATTTAGTTCTTTTGTTTAAGACGTCACCACGCTGACTGCGACAAGTGAAAGATATTTCGTAATGTGTTGCTTTCTTGCTGCTAGAGCTGTAAACTAGTTTCTTGTCGACCGGATTTGTATGCAACTGATCTAACCAAACTATAAGATGTACGAGGTGTGTTCAGAAAATAACGGGAGTTGTTAAATTTCGCGGGTTCGGAGGGTCCGGTTGTCATAAAATTTTCTTTTGGTATATTTTGGTATACATGCCCCCGAAGTATGATAAAAACTTTAGCTGTTCATTGTTTACTTTGTCTGTGGCAGCCGCTAAGGTTAGACGTGTTTTATGAGCTCGGCGATTTTTCGTTCGTTAAAAGAAATGGATCAAAGAATTTGTATCCAATTTTGCCTAAAAAATAAAACAAATTCTATGAAATTTTAACAAAGGCCTATAGTGAGTCTGCTATAAGTAAAACAAGAGTTTACAAGTGGTATAAGAGTTTCCAAGATGGCCGTGAAGACGTTGAAGATGACGAATGCCCTGAACGCACAAGCACATTAACAACCGATAAAAACATGGAAAAAGTGGAAAAATGGTTATAAACCATCAGAGAAGTCGCTGATGATGTTGGTATATCGATTGGCTCATCCCATGAAGTTTTTTCGAATGTTTTGGGTATGAAACGCGTGGCAGCAAAATTTGTTCTAAAATTGTTAAATTTTGAACAAAATTTTTGGCCAAAAACAATACTGTAATGATGCCCCACCCTCCATATTCGCCAGACATGCCTCTGTCTGACTTTTTACTATTCCCAAAAATAAAGAGAACCTTAAAGGGCCGTCGTTTTGCAAGCATAGATGACATTAAAAGCGCATCGCTGAAAAAACTAAAGGCTATCCCAAAGATTGAGTTTTCAAAGTGTTTTGAGTATTGGAAGAAGAGCTGGCACATGTGCATAATATCCAATGGGGACTATTTTGAAAGCGACAACATTAATATAGACGAATAATAAAATATTTGTTTCAAAAAACGAAAATTCCCGATATTTTCTGAACACACGTCGTATATCAAAACAATGTTATAAAGTTCAGATTTGTTAACATAAGTTAGTACTCTCTAAAAATGTATTAAGTAGTCAAAAATGACTAATTAGTAATTAGTAATTACTACAGTTATTCGTGGCTGTTTTTTCACTTGTACCATGGTTAACCATGGAATACCATGGTATCAAAAAATTTAACTGCCAATTCGTATGTAAAATTGTCCCCTGAATCCAAAAATATCGTCAAAATATAAAATTAGAGCAGTTTTTGAGATATAATCAATTCCATATTAAATGTAAAATTGACTATATCTCAGAAACTGTTCTTCTTTTTTAACATTCAGGGGACAATTCGCTATTAAATAGTATATCATGGTTAACCATGGTACAAGTAAAAAAGCAGCCACTAATAACTGTAGTAATTAGTCATTTTTGACTAATTCATTTTTAGAGAGTAGTTTGTTAATTTTATTTTGTAAAATTTTAACATAATTTTTTGTAGAAATTTGTAGATTTTGGGTACACCAATATCTCAATTATTAAATATGGGACCCACACCAAATTTATATGAGTTTATAATGACATTAAATAAACAAGTTCTGCGCAAGCAGAATTTTTAAACATTATAAACATTATAAACATTTATTTATTTAATAAATAAATTATTAAATATAAAACAAAAAAATTCATTTTATATCATTTGGCTGGACTTAGCCCCCTCAATACGAAGAAGTAAATTTAGCACCCTTAAAACATAAAAAACACACGTCTTGGAAAAAATATTTAAAGAATTATTTTTGCCGCGTAAATTTACCTCTCAGACCACTGTGGGCCGGGGGTAATTGAGTGTCAGCCTGACTCTGTCACTGACAGACTGTCAGGCGTTAATTTAAAAAATGAGAGGACCAAGTACAGTACTTCAAAATTGAAAAATAGTGGGAAAAATTCGCACAGTAGCATAAATTTAAAAGATGGAAGAAAAAATTTACAGAGTGGGATAAATTTTTAAAAAGGTAGGACAAATTTGCACAGTGGAATAAATCTAAAAATGGTGGGACAAATTTTTAAAATTTCCAAAATTTTCCAATTTTCAAAATTTTTAAAAACTTTAAATTTAAAAAAATAACATTACAAATAACAATTAACAAATTACACACGTGTATGTACTCTCTAAAAATTAATTAGTCAAAAATTATTAGCGTAGCGAAAAAGCAGCCACTATTAACTATAGATAGTCAACTTCAATTTATGTCCAGGACATTTAACAGGTAATTCCTATGTAAAATTGTTTGCTGAATCCGAAAATACCGTCAAAAATGATAAAAGTATTGAAGTTTTTAAGATATAGTTAATTCCATTTTATATGGAAAATTTACTTTATCTTAAAAACAATTCTACTTTTTAACTTTTGGAGATATTTTCAGATTCAGCGGACAATTCTGCTCTGCTAAGCTATAGCTTATAAAAGGCCGTATCTGCAAAAATTTAAAATAAAATATTTCTAAAATTTAAAAACAATTTTTTTTTGAAAACTTAGTAAAATTTGAAAACTTGTAATTTAAAATAAAACTGGAGTTTTTAAAAATCCTAAAAATTTTGAAAATTCATCCGATCACTTTTTTAATTTAGGCCACTGTGCTAATTTGTCCTACCATTTTTTTAAATGTATGCTACTAAAAATTTGTCCCACTACCTTTTAAATTTATCCCACAGTGGTATTTTTTTCTACAATCTTTTAAATGCTTTAACTTTTTTAATTTTAAACTACTGTGCGGATGTACAGGGCATGGTTAACAGTTATCTAATTTTGTTCGAATTGCAATAGGCAGTTTTTAATTACCCAAAACAATAATTTTTAGGTGCAGGTTTTTATTACCCAGTTTTAAATAAATTAAATGTAAGAGCAGTTTTGAATTGTCTAATTTTCTTTAAGCCACTGTGAGAATTTGTTTAAATTAATTCCACTAAATTTTTTCTCATTTTTTCTACTCTGCGAATTTTTCCCAGTATTTTAAATTTGTGCAACTGTGCGAATTTGTCCTACCATTATTTAAATTTGTCCTACTGTTCAAATGTATCCACCAATTTTTAAATGTACGGCCATTTCAAGCGGATGGACGGGACAAATCACAAAACTGTTTTTATAAAAAAAATTGTAGGTAATTTATTATATATTATTTTTGCATCAAAATTGTCAAATATATTCTTCTATTATTAGGCTATACATTAAATAAAAAAAAATCGCAAGAAATATTTTATAAAAGTAGAGATAATTTCAATAATTGACAGGGGATGGACGGGACAAGATAAATCTTTTTTTTGTCCAGTCCACACCATTCAATTATTAAAATTATATCTACTTTTATAAAATATTTTTTGCGTTTTTTTTTTATTTAATGTATAACCTAATAAAAGAAGAATATTTTTGACAATTTTGATGCCAAAATATTATATAATAAATAATCTACAATTTTTTTTTATAAAAACAGTTTTGTAATTCGTGCGTTTCGCGCGCTTGAAATGGCCGTGTATGCTACTGTGCGATTTTTTTTTACTTTTTTTATTTTTCTGATTAATTTTTTAAGAAATAAAATTTAAATTCAAATTACTTCTGCCAATTTGAATATCAGCTATAAAATCTCACTATCAAGTCGATAGGTGTGCATTTGTTTGAAAACAACGAACAAATAAACAAATCAAGAAGGCGAAATTACGAGCCATTGAAACAGCGCTTCCTGCGACCACAAATTTATTTGACAATCGAATGCTGATTCTTTCCCGCAGGAAACGGCTTCTATATATAGTTACCATTGATGTTACATACTATCCCATTGGGTCATCGAATTGCAAAAACCAACAAAATTTTTGTGTGTACTAATCTTAGGCATGTTTCTGAAATATACTGACATTTGATTATATCGTGATTCGATTTATTTCTTATGGTCGATAACTTAGTTAAATCCATGGAAAATCAGTAAATACTTACCTATTTTATGGACCGAACTTTTAGGCTTCCAATACTTAAAAGAGATTCGTAAAGGTAATTCGTAAAAGTCAATTTTCCAGAGAGTCAATACTTAATTTTCATGAGCTACCTATTATGGGTACCTAAAGGAAAAGAAAATTATTTTTAAATTTTTCCACTTCTTATAAATACAGTAAACTGTATTTTTGACACGAAGTAAAAAAATTCAAAAATGATTTGCTTAAAATCTGGTTCATACTTATTTTATAAAATTTTATTAATCGTAATGGAAAACCTCAGCTATTTAATATTAAATTTACATAAGAATTACAACTATACAGGGTGCCTCAGATTTTAATCGGAAAAATTTAGTGGTCTATGGAACTTGACTCAAAAATAAGAAGTTTATATGAACTTGTATGTTTTAAAGCTTCTTTTTTAATATAAAAGGTCGTTAAGTTATTAATATTTTTTTTATTTCAAAAACTCGAATTTAATAAAACTTTTCAGTAATGGACCTAATTTAAGGTTGTTAAATTTAATTTAGTGGTATCGCAACAAGATATTTAAAAATACAATTTGAGTAGGCTACTCCTTTCTACACTCACAGGCAAAATAATCGATCCACACAAATTTTTGATGAATTTCAATCGCAAATAACTTTTTTATTTGATTTCGGATTTATACAAATATTAAAGAATATTGTAGATACATTAATGGAGAAATAATATACAGGTTTAAACAAAAAGATGTTTTTACCATAAGTTTAAGACACTCTGTACAGTGGCAAAACCGTATATTGTTCTAAATTAAATTTTAATTATCAAGTCACATCTATTTTTAACAGTTTTGTTTTTGGTTCACCTTGATATTTTTTTTTTGTGGAAAATATGGATTTTAAAAAAAAAACATTGCAATTTCCAATATTTTTCCTGTATAAAGAACTAAGGTTGCTATGGTCCATCCATAGCCTATGGAGGATGACAGTGACAGTTTTGTTGAATCATCCCATACTTGGACATGTCATATATAGCTTTCAAAAACT